AGAGACCGTGTGTGGTCACAAATCACAATGATGAGGGGAAGACGCTTCCATTAATGCTGCATTCTGTCTTTTGTAGGGATCGAGAGCGGAGCGGTGTCCTTGCAGAACCCGGGCAGCATTGCTGATATCCAGAGCCTGTCCCCGGTCACTTTGCGCTGTCACATTGACGGTCACCCGCGGTAAGAATGGCGCTGCTCGTGTTGTGGATTCATTGAACACGGCTCCCCCATTGCTGACGCTTTGGGCCGGAGTGGCTGCATCTCAGAGGCGCCCAGTGTGCCATTGTTATAGTAATCCTTGTGTGTGGCATTGGGGGGTCTATACAGCCCGCTATGTCAGTGGTACAGAGACTCCACGTCACTGACAGACGATGGCCAGTCCTATTCCATCAATAACAAGGAGCGCAGTCTGACCATACAAAGCGCGGGGCCCGATGACAGCGGCGAGTATTACTGCTGTGCCAACAATGCCGCCGGAGCCGTCTGCAGCAACCGCAACTTCACACTCAACATCATCGGTGAGAACCGGCCACTTATCTGCTATGTCCACCCAGAACTGAACGTATTTGTGGAATGCTGATGGTTGTTGTCCTCTGTGTTACTGCTCATTCCGGATACCGATCATGGACCCCCCTTCCCCATCCCCCCCCAGAGGTTATATGGGCACGTTATACTCCCCTTGATGTGTATCCAGAAGGAGAGGGTGGTGTCTGTGGTGCCCATAACCAATTGGGTACCAGCACACGTTAAAAGATGAGATCCAGTTAGCACCCCCAGTGTGTCACCCCCAATAATCTCATTTCACTCTGAGCTTCACTACCCCAAACCCTACTGTCAGGTTCCAGCTACATTGCTGACCCCATAGGGGCAGACAGCTGACACTGATGTAGGAGGAGGTAGGAGGGAGGGCGCGCTGGGTGGGGGTGGTAGCAAGGTGGGAGGGCTCGCTGGGTGGGGCTGGTAGCAGGGTGGGGGTGGTAGCAGGGAGGGCTCGGTGGGTGTGGGGGGGTGGTAGGAGGGGCCTGGTGGTTAGGGAACTTGTGGTGGTAGAATGAGATCTGTTGGCAGTGCTGGGAAGGGATTTGATTGGCTGATGATGAGATACGAATCATTTTCCTCTGATGTAGAGGAAGAATCTCCTCCTGTATAGTGTCTGCTGTAGTAGAGGTTGCTCGGGGGCCGTTCTCATTCCGCTTCTCTCTCCTTGCTCCTCCTTTTGCAGATGAAAGTTTTCCTCAAGCTGAGGTCACTCCGGAAGATCAGATTGTCAGTAAGAACGAATCCGCCATTTTCCACTGTAGATTCAGCGCTGTGCCGCCTCCTGTACTGGAATGGTTCTTCAAAGACAACAGCTCGCTCGTGAACAAGACACGGTGAGAAGAGGGAAGGCCGAGCCCACATGGTGGTTGGTGGGGGCCAGCGATAATGGTAGATGGGGATGAAGGGAACCAGAAGACGTCACCAGTTGTATGGCTGAGCCCCCCCGATATACAATGCTGGTCATCCTTCCTCACGGAGAATTGGCCTCGGCTTGTGGGGCTCATTGTCTCCACGGATCAGAACGTTTCATAGGGCCGAATATTTCTGCCATCCCCATTCTCCCATATAATTGCCACCTTGAGGGGAGGAGCTCTCTCAAGCCTAGGCGGGGCTTATTCCTCATCAGTCCAGCTTTGACCTCCTATGGGGAAACAATATTTAACTTCCTTCATTGGTCACATAAGAAGTGACAGGCTGGCCGATCTTCACCAGCGGATGATCTCCATGAGCCCTTCACAAGGTTCTGTCCTTCTAGAGAATTACAAATGTCAGCAGCGGAAAGTCAATAGAGAGAGAGGAGTCTCTGGAGGATGGAACATGGAGAACCTCCACCATGTCCTCCAGCTCTGCCCCTCGTCTTCTGACTTTCCTGAACCCAACAGAAGCTCCTGAACTTGGAGAATCCCTTTTATACCCGTTCTAGTGATGCCTGAGGTCCACGCTGCTTCTCCGGGGACAGTGAGAGGGATGTGCCGGCATTTCCCATCTTTAGATCTGTGCTCTGGGAATGGCTCCTCTGTCTCTTCTGATGCCGGAGAGAGTCCTCCATGGAGGCCGCATGCGTCTAGTGTGTTAGAGGAGGCAGCTTCTGCTTCCAGATCCTCACTCTTCACCGAGGTTATTGGGATTGAACGATGGAGCCCCCCCTGTGTGTAACCGGCATCCCTTGTTGTGTTCCTCTTCTCCCCGCAGGGTCACAGTCTTCCAGAATGGCTCCCTTCTCATCAGCTCTGTGGGTGTCCGGAATACCGGCACCTATCGTTGTGTGGGCACCGGACAACGGGGCAAGAAACTCGCTCTGCAAGCAAAGCTTAGCCTGGCCAGTAAGATCTCCTCCTCTATACATGAGACGTGGCGATCCTCTCTCTGGTCTGTCCGTGTAATGACTCTTCTGCTTTCTTCCCGCAGAAATCGAGGATATGCCCCCCTTGTCTCCCCGTATTCTCACTGCAAGAACGTTGCAGCACATCGCCTGCAGGCAGCCAGACGGACTGCCGCCCCCTACTGTGTGGTGGACGAGGAGCGGGAAGCGGATTCCGGAGCAGGGCAGGGTGTACCGGACTGGGAGAGAATTGGTTTTCAGCCCCATAATGGAGGAGGATACCGGCGTGTACACTTGCCACGCTGCAAACAAGGCGGGCGAGAGGCGACAGGATGTGGAAATCACTGTGGCAAGTAAGAGAAGAATCCGGCCATTGTTTCTAGGCAACACTAATACATTCATTCACCCCGTGCCCATCTCCTGACGGCACCCACACATACCATCGACCTGCACCCATCTCCCGACGGCTCACACTCAACTCCATCTCCCGACAGCACCCACGCAGCCCATCTCCCGACAGCACCCACGCAGCCCATCTCCCGACAGCACCCACGCAGCCCATCTCCCGACAGCACCCACGCAGCCCATCTCCCGACAGCACCCACGCAGCCCATCTCCCGACAGCACCCACGCAGCCCATCTCCCGACAGCACCCACGCAGCCCATCTCCCGACAGCACCCACGCAGCCCATCTCCCGACAGCACCCACGCAGCCCATCTCCCGACAGCACCCACGCAGCCCATCTCCCGACAGCACCCACGCAGCCCATCTCCCGACAGCACCCACGCAGCCCACCGCCTGATTCCCTGTTCTGTAGCTGTGAACCTCTGATCCGGCGCAGGACCCCCTCCTATTGGCCTCTGTACCTGACGATGTTGTGTTGTCATTGCAGCGTTTCCTGAGTGGGTGGAGAAGCCTCAGGACACGGCGATGGATGAGGGGAGATCCGGATTCCTGCACTGCGTCAGTAAAGCATCTCTGCAGCCGAGCATCACCTGGTACCGCAACGAAAACCCCATTCCGTCAACCAGCGAGGTGCGGGAATCCCGATTCGAGGTCTTCCAGAACGGGACACTAAAAATCCTGAGTGTGGACGTGTACGATGGGACCGTGTACAAGTGTGTGAGCAGCACGCCCGCTGGCAGCCTCGAGGCTTCTGCCCGTGTCACCGTACTGGGTGAGCATGCCGGCAGTCACGTGTCACTAGACCTAAAAGTCACGGTCCTTGGAAAGTACCTATAGAAAGATCCGGGAGCCAAAAGACACGAGCTCCACGTCCCTGATTGTAGAGTCCGGAATGACTTATCATAGAAACCCAACCAGGGGGTGTAGATCTCCATCAGGGCTCATAGTGGTGTAAATGGTGGATCAGGTTCTCCAGTTGCGACTTCAGCAGCTGAGAGCTCTCTGTCATCTTCATCCCTTTCCTCACCTACAGGCAGAAGTAACGCCCCAGAATAAAGAAAACCGGGCCCCCAGGAGCTTTTGCCTATAACGAACATCATGGCACACTTGCCTAGCACAGTGATCCGCGATTCCATCTCTACTAGGGATGCACTGATGCCGGGTTTTCGGTGTTTCGATACTTTGCTTTCTGTACTCATCGATACCGAGTACGGATAGCGGTGCTTCCGCTGGCATGGGGCCGGCTTCCCAGGCAATCTGATTACCCGAGAAGCCGGCTTCATGTTGTCTGGCCGGCTTGATTGGCTGGGAAGCCGGTTTCCCGGCCAAGCACAATCAACATCGAGCCTGCTTATCAGGAGGCGGATCATTACTGGCCACCCAGCTTCCTGATTGCACGGGAAGCTGGCTCCATGTGCCCCCCCCACTGCACTGCCGGTCAGAGGAAATCTTCATCTGACCGGAATTTCCGGTATCGGGGAAGGTATCGGAGCATTTGGGTGACTACGAGTTCTTCCCCAAATTCTTGCTATCGATTTTGGAGTCTTTGGCCCTCTTGATTGGTGACTCTCGCGTATGTGCGTGGGAGTTGCTTCGTCCCGCCATGTGCTGAGATTGTGCACTGAGCTGCGCATGCGTGGCCCGCGGTACACTGGGAAAGACATAACACAGACTGGCCGGGGAGAAGCATTGATGACAGAACAGATGTCACTCTACAGCCACTTCCAGCCCTGATGAAGGGAGAACGTTACAGTCCCTGACGTGTGGCGGCGTTCTGTATATTTATATTGTAAAGCGCTGCGCAAACTGGCGCTCTATAAATCCTCAATAATAATAATTTCTGGTGTTTCGCCTCTTTCTTCCCTTACACTTGTTACAAGTCTGAGACCTGATCGGAGTTCATCGTTTATTTCAGAGAAACTGAAGTTTACTCCTCCCCCCCAATCGCAGTGCTTGGAGCTGAGTAAAGAGGTGACCGTCCTCTGTTCTGCAACGGGGCGAGAGAAACCCACAATCCACTGGGCGAGAGCAGGTGAGTGCGGCCCCCGGGCCATTGAACATTTCACCCTTTTTGTTTGCCTCCGTGGCCCCTGACAGGAGTCTGATTTTCTCTTCTGGCAGATGGGAGCAGCTTACCCCCTCATGTGGTTTCTGAGGCCGGTCTCCTGCGCTTTCACCGGGTCACCCGGAGCGATGCCGGGAATTACACGTGCATTGCCTCGAACAGCCAGCAGGGGGAGATCAAAGCCTCGGTGTACCTCTCTGTAGCAGGTAAGTGCTCCATTGTGGGAGGCAGAAGATCAGACACGCTAATCTGCCCGCCCGCCCGGTGTTCTGAGGTGACGGAGACATCGGAGATCATTCCCATCAAATTCTGGGTTTCCCCTCGGAGGAGTTCTGGAAGAAAATGATTATTATAGAATATGACGCAGAGAATATCGCACATTCCTCGCATCACGGTGTGTGAGCGTTGCTCGAGGAATCATCTGCTGTTTTCTTTGTATTCTGACAGCGGCCGCCGGACATTTTCCGACCTCCTTTCATTGTCTGATGGGGGGATGCCGACAGCAGCACCCACACATAGCTTATCCAGAACCAGCCAGAAGTCGATGTGTTCCCTACTTCAGTTTCTTTGGGGGCATAGCCCCCCCCCTTATAATTTATGATAATTTATGCAGATTACAGACATCTTTGTTCCCCTTGGCAGTCCTGGAGGGACATTCTCTCCTGCAGAGTCCATGTTGATGGCGGCCGTCATAGAGGAACCTTCTTTTGTCCAGTAGTATTGTGACTTTCCATAGGACAGAAGTGTAGCCAATGAGCCGCCGCGTCTGTGTGTCTGGTTGTATCTCGTGCCGCCCTCCTAAGACGTGTTGTGTGCGCCATTCATTAGCTCCATCCTGCATGGAGCCGTATTGGGGAGTGTGATGTCTACCGTTATCGGCGCATCCCTGGTGAGCAGCTCCCCGCTACTGACAGGTGGGCGCTGTGTAACCTGGTTGTGGCGAGCTCCTTATTTTCTGGGATGGAGCAGATGAGATCGCGGCACAGAACGGGCGCTGGTCGGGCACACTGCAGAACCGAATGGCACTGCAGACAATCGCCGACTTCCTAACGCAATGTTTATCATGCAGTCGTTGTGATGTCATTCGTATCTTGGCTGCATTCCTCGTACGTCACATTTCTACATTCTCA